CAGCGACTCGTGTTCCTGAAGACGCATAAATCCGGGAGCAGCTCTGTGCTGAACCTGCTTCATCGCTACGGGGACCGCAATGGACTGCGCTTTGCTCTCCCTGCCCGCTACCAGTTCGGCTACCCAAGGCTTTTCCAGGCCTCCCGAGTCAAAGGCTACCGTCCCCAGGGTGGGGGTACCCAGCCCCCCTTCCACATCCTCTGTCACCATATGAGATTCAACCTGAAAGAGGTGAGGGGCGCAGTGGGCAGGGGTGGGGCTGGAAAGAGAGGGGCTCAGGCTTGTGGCCAAGACCGTTGCAGGAGGGTTCCCCAGGCACCACCTCGCCTGGCCACAAAGGTGGGAGTTTTCTGCTGCTGTCTCTGCAGGTGTCCTTTCCCCCAGGGGTGCCTGGGAGCCAGTGTCTTCCCCTCCCTTATCTGAGGTTTCTGGGGTTCCCATTCTCCCACTTGGGGTTTATTCTAAACTAAGATTTCTTTTTTCAGTACTAGGGACTGAACCCAGGGCCCTCTACTGAGCTACATCCCTGGCCCTTTTTTATTTTGAGGCAGGGTCTCTCTAAACTTTTAAATTGCCTGACCTGACTGGGTTTGAACTTGTGATCCTCCTGTTTTGGCCTCTCAGATTTCTAGGATTACAGGTATCCACCACCACACCAGGCAGATGCCACATTTTGAGACTTCATGTCAGCTCTCTGTCAACCCTAGTTGGAGCACAGCAGGACAATCAGATGAAGGCCTTGTTCTGCCCCCCCAGGAGCCTTGGGATTTAAGGGAGAGACAAGCACTTATGCTTAAGTGTTCAAACAGACACACCAGGCACCTGAGAGTTCCTGTAAGAAGACACTCAACGAGCAAATAAAAATCTACAGGGAAGGGCCAGGGATTTAGCTCAGTGGTTTCGTCGCCTGCTGCGCAAGCACAAAGACCCGAGTTTGATCCCCGGTACGAAAAAATAAATAAATAAATAAAATCTACAGGGAAGACACAACTTGGCTGCATATTTACCATCCCTTTGCCAGGAGGGCAGTGTCAATGTCTTCATTACACAGATGTGGAGATGTAGTCTCAGGGAAGCTGACTGACTGGCCTCCTCAGCTGGGCGTGGTGGTGCAGGCCTATAATCCCAGCACTCTGGGAGGCTGAGGCAGGAGGATCACAAATTCGAGCTAGGCCTGGGCGATTTAGCAATTTAGTGAGACCCTGTTTCATAAACAAGGGGACGGGGGGGGGGGGAGCTGAGAATGGAGCTCAGTGTGATGGCCCTAGGTCCGATCCCCAGTACTGCCAAAAGAAAAACAGAAACTGGCAGGGCTAGGATTTGAACTCAGGACTCCAAACTCAAGACTCTGCACACATATATGTGTTTTTGTATTCGGAACTGTGGAGAGAGTAGTCATCTACTCTCTACTAGGGAGAAAGTAGGGCTTTGCAGTAAGGACAGTATCTGGCATTCTTAATGGGAGCAAGGCATCAGCAAAGACATAGTGGTGCATGTTTGTCCTTGCACACATGTTGTGTCAGAAGGGCAGTGTGCAGGGTATGTAGGTGGCAGAGCTTCAGTGGGGGTGGCAAAGACACTCTTGTTGGAGCTGGAGCTGGAGCTGGAGCTGGAGACAGATGAGGAGTGTGAGGGTGATCTATAGGCAGCAGGGGCCACTGTTGGGAGAGGTGATGGCAGGAGTCTTTGAGGTCAGCTTCTCCTGTGGCTTGGATGATGACCTTCCTGCTCACCACCATTCGCTGAACACCTATCTTGTTCCAGGCACTTCCACATTCTTCCAGGTAAGTGTTTAGCCAGTTTTACAGGTGGAGAAATGAAGATTCTGAAAGGTTCAATAATCTGCCCAAAGTCATACAACTACTACAAGGTGTGGTACATGGTGAATGTTTACATTTTTTAAAAATTATTACAGTAAAAGACACATGCCACGAATCCTCCTTATTTCTCCTCACTTCAAACATACTTATCCCATCATTTTTGCCACTTTGTGAAACACTTCTGAAGTCCTCTTTTTGTGTCTTTTTATGAGATATAATAAAAAATATAGGGAACACTGCTACCAAGTGCCATCCAATGGAAAGGTAGGCTCATAAAAATGTTACACTGTGTCCTCATCCACCTTATTTGCCAGAGCTGGCACCATGCAATCCTAGCTCTTCCCTAAAGTCAAAATGACCGTGAGAAGGTAAACATTTGGAATCGATTCAGGACATCAAGGTAGCCCTGACAGGCCACCTAAAGACACTCACAAAAGAGGATTTCCAGAACCCCTTCAGCAAGAATGATGGGATAAGTGTGTTCAAAGCAAGAAGGTATATTTGGGAGGGGATTCACATCGATATATATTTTACTGTAATACATTTTCTTGGGATACCGGAGATTGAACTCAGGACCTTGTGCTTGTGAGGCAGGCACGGTGCCACTGAGCTAAATCCCCAGCCCTGTAATACATTTTCTTAAATTTAAACGTTCATTGTAGTTTTTAACCATACTGCATAAATTGTAGAATTACGCTTTTATTCCAGGTCCATCTGATGTCAAAGACTATTCTCTTCACAGTTCCCTTCTGCCTTCAAAGAGACAGTTCAGAGGCTCTGCCCTTGAGGCATGTCCATATTAGTGAAGCATATTGGAGAATATCCTGACAGAGAGAGGTCAGATTCAATGATGGAAGCCAATTTCAGAGGCAGACACCCTCAGGGCATCTAGGAGCTATAGTTTTATGTGGATCAGCCGGCAAGGCTGTCAGCCTGATTCCCACCATCCTGGTTGGGAAGCGGAATCGTGTGTCTTAGCCCTAAGGGCAGACCTCTACCAAGTGCCTAGGGATCCCTAATGCCCTAGTATCTTTTGGTCTCCAGGCTGTCCAGGACGTTTGCCTTGCTCTGTGGCCATGCTGGGCTGGCCTCAGATGGCCCTATTGTTGCCCCTTCTCACTCTTTCTTACCAATGACCTCACTTTCCTCCCATCCTGGAGAGGCTCAAGGCCAGTTCCTTTCTTGGAGCTGTGACTAGAACTCCCAGAATAAGTGCTCAATAGGTTTTTGTTGGAGAAATGAGAGCAAAATTTGGTTCCTAGAAGTTTTACTGATCAGACCAGACAGAAAGTCCAAGGAAATTAAAGTTCTCCATGAGCATCATGTGTTCTGGGTTTCTTCACATCCTCTAGCTCATGTACCCTTCACAATCACCTCAGAAATTATGATTATCGAGTCTAAAAGATGTTAAGTAAATTCCCCCAGGCCACACAACTAGAAAAGGAAGCTGGGGGTGCCCAGCAGAGCTGTGAGGAGGCTGGGGCATCAGCAGAGCCTTAGCCTGTACTTACTTAACTTTCCTCCTTTTCCCTGGCCCACTTCTTTACCCTTGTGACCGTCTTCTCTCTTCTGCAGGTACTTCAGGTCATGCCTTCTGACAGCTTCTTTTTTTCTATTGTCCGAGACCCAGCAGCTCTGGCCCGCTCTGCCTTCTCCTACTATAAATCCACCTCGTCTGCCTTCCGCAAGGCACCATCCTTGGCTGCGTTCCTGGCCAATCCTCGAGCCTTCTACCGACCTGGGGCCCGAGGGGACCACTATGCCCGAAACTTACTGTGGTTTGACTTTGGCCTCCCCTTCCCTCCAGAGATGAGGACTAAGAGAGGGAATTCTCATCTCTCCAAAGACCCCAGCCCCCTCCAGCTGCATGTCTTGCCTTCTGGCGCTGGCCCTCAAGCTCAAATCCTGCATCCCAAGTCCCTCTTCCAGCCTGTTTCCACCGTTGCTGATGGCCACAGCCAGCCAGCCAGCCCTGCCTCTTTAGACTTGGGGTCCTCATCCTTCATCCAGTGGGCTCTGGCCTGGCTGGACTCCATCTTTGACCTTGTTATGGTGGCTGAGTACTTTGATGAGTCATTGGTTCTGCTGGCAGACGCCCTGTGCTGGGGTCTGGATGATGTAGTGGGCTTCATGCACAATGCCCAGGCTGGAGGTGAGCAGGGCGTCAATGCTGCCAGCAATGGTAGACTGAATGCAGAAGATCGGCAGCTGACCTTGCGGGCCCGAGCCTGGAACAATCTGGACTGGGCTCTCTACACGCACTTCAACCGAAGTCTGTGGGCACGGATAGAGCAGTATGGCCAGAGGAGGCTGGAGCATGCTGTGGCAGAGCTCCGGGCTCGCAGAGAGGCTTTAGCTAATCATTGCCTAGTGGGGGGTGAGGCTTTGGACCCCAAATTTATCACCAACCGGAAGCTCCGCCCCTTCCAGTTTGGGGCAGCCAAGGTTCTGGGTTACGTACTTCAGAGCGGACTGAACCCGCAGGACCAGGAGGAGTGTGAACGCCTGGCTACCCCTGAGCTACAGTACAAGGACAAACTGGATGCCAAGCAGTTCCCCCCTACAGTCTCATTGCCCCTTAAGACTTCAAGGCTGCTCTCCCCGTAGGCATCAGACTACAGACTGGGACACAAGTGGGGCTGCCAGAAGCAATCTCTGCTTCCCTCTCAAGGGATGGAACTTTGCCCTGACTCAAGCCCCAAGTCTTCTGGCCTTTGCCTGGAAATCCCAGCTGGTCTCCCTCCCCTGTACACGTTGCCCCTTTCTTCCCCTTTCCAGTTCCAAGGCAGGTCCGTGTGTGGCCCTCTCTAAAGGCCGCCGGAGGGGCAAAAGATGGAGTAAGCCAGAAAAAAGTTTGCGGCATGGTGAGGTGGAATGATATGTACATTTTCTACAAAATATTTGTTACTGGTCTATGATCATTTCACTAGAAGTGTTTGTTGAATGAATAAATGATAGGAAACTTTCACTTGATCTATGTAAGACAGAAAGGTGAGGGATGAAGAGGCTTCCAGGCAGAAGCGGGGAGGGAGGGGTTCTCATATTTCTTCCCAAGGAAGCCTCTCAATCTGTCAGGTCTGGACTCACAGCAATTTAAGCGCCCCGGGCCCCGCCCTCTCCGACATAGTCCCACCATACAGATTCCAGGGTCCCGGAGCCACGCCCCTTCCGTTTCCGGTTTCCCGCCAGTCATTCGCCCCGTACCGCGGTTCCGGCGCCGCCGGGTCTGGGTTCCGGGTTCGTTGCCCCGGTTTCCGGACCCGGCTGGTCTTCTGGGCCGCCCAGCCGCGCACAGCACCCGTCCGGTGCCGGGACTCGCGGGCCTCAGCCCCGCAGGCCCCGCCGCTCCCCGCCCGGGCTCGTCTCCGGTCCCGGCCCGCTCGCCCCCTGACCCGACCCGACCCACTGGGTTCCGCGCCGCCCCATGGAGTCTCAGTGCGACTACTCGATGTACTTCCCGGCAGTGCCGCTGCCGCCGCGTGCGGAGCTGGCGGGGGACCCGGGCCGGTACCGGGCACTGCCCCGGCGCAACCATCTGTACTTGGGGGAGACGGTCCGCTTTCTGCTAGTGCTGCGCTGCCGGGGCAGCGCGGGCTCCGGCGCCGGGGGCGGCCCGGGCTTGGGCTCCCGAGGGGCCTGGGCAGAGCTGGCGACCGCCTTGGCCGCCCTGGCCTCTGTCAGCGCTGGAGGCGGGCTGCCAGGGGGCGGTGGCGCGGGCGACCAGGACCCCGAGCCCCCAGGCGGAGGGGATCCAGGGGGCGGGGGCTTGTTCCGCGGCTGCAGCCCTCTGCTCACCCACGGCCCTGGCTCTGCTACCTCAGGGGGAGCGACCACGGTGAGGAGCTTGGGGTGACCCGGCACAGGACTCAGGGGCGGCTTGCCGGGTGCCAAATGCACTTTTGGGAGATGGACGCTGGAGGGCCGGGAGAGCAGGAGGTTGATGACAGAGGGGAGGGCACGAAGGTCGGGACCATATATTGCAGACGTTAAAGAGAAGAGAGGCAAGCGCCGCTTGCTTTGTGACTCGCTCCTGACCTCTTCACCCCTTTCATAACCCCAGCTGCCTGTGGAGGAACCAATCGTGTCCACAGATGAGGTCATCTTCCCACTCACTGTTTCACTGGACAGACTGCCCCCAGGGACACCCAAGGCCAAGGTAAGATAGCAAGGGTGGAGCTGCTGACCTAGTTCCGAACCCTCTCAAGGACCTGCCATCCCTCTCTACTGTTCACTGGTTCCGTGTCTCTTGCACTCAGATTGTAGTGACCGTGTGGAAGCGGGAGGTTGAGGCACCAGAGGTCAGAGATCAAGGCTATCTGCGCTTGCTGCAGACCCGATCTCCTGGGGAAACCTTCCGGGGCGAGCAGAGCGCCTTCAAGGCCCAAGGTGGGGAGGTGCTGCAGAGGGGAAATGGTAGGATTTGGAGGGGGCAGAGTGGAGGGGTGATCCTGGAAAGGGCTTGATAGGGGAGAAGAGGAAGATAGGGGAGAAGTAAGAACCGTGGGCTGGAGGTGAGGTCTGGATCCTGCCCTCCCTTCCTTGCTTGCTCCACCCTCCTGCAGTGAGTACCCTGCTGACGCTGCTGCCTCCTCCCGTTCTGAAATGCCGGCAGTTCACTGTGGCTGGAAAACACTTGACCGTTCTCAAGGGTGAGCAGACCCACTGATACAGGTCTTGGGTAGCAGCAGGGGAACTGACTGGATGGCAGTGGTTTGGGGCAAGCTGGCAGGGATGGGTCCAGAGGTCCAGCTACTCTGAGCTGATCTGGTTTCCTTCCACAGTGCTGAACAGCTCCTCCCAGGAGGAGATCTCCATCTGGGATATCAGAATCCTCCCCAACTTCAATGCCAGTTATCTACCTGTCATGCCCGATGGTTCTGTGCTGCTGGTGGACAATGTCTGGTGAGGGCCTGGGGAATGGCAGGGCTGTGAAGTTGTGGACAAGGACAAGGGCAGGGGCATGGGCAGAGGCTGAGCTCTGGCCTGGGGAAATCATGCCTTGTCCTGCTCTTCTGAACTAGCCACCAGTCTGGCGAAGTCTCCATGGGCTCATTCTGCCGGCTTCCTGGTGCCTCTGGCTGCTTCCCCTGCCCACTTAATGCCCTGGAGGAACACAACTTCTTGTTTCAGCTGAGAGGGGGTGAGCAGCCCCCACCAGGGGCCAAGGAGGTGAGCACGAGGGGCTGGTGTGTTCAAGAAAAAGGGTAAGAAAAGGCAGTGGGAGGGATAGGCCAGGAGCCTGAGGGTGGGAGGGGAGCTCTGATGCATGTGAAGTCTCCTTGTATCTCACACACAGGGCCTCGAAGTTCCCCTGATTGCTGTGGTTCAGTGGTCTACCCCGAAACTGCCCTTCACCCAGAGCATCTACACCCACTACCGGTAAGTGTGTGGGAGCCCCTGCCAGGCACTCTCCCGCTCACATCTGTGGCCTGAAACACACATCTGGCTTTCCTCTCTCACTGCTTCTAGCCTTCCCAGTGTCCGTCTGGACCGTCCCTGCTTTGTGATGACTGCTTCTTGTAAGTCCCCTGTTCAGACCTATGAGCGGTTCACTGTCACCTACACGCTGCTCAACAATCTCCAAGACTTTCTTGCTGTGAGGCTTGTGTGGACCCCGGAGCATGCACAGGCTGGTAGGTCAGCTACCAGGATGGGACCTTGTCCCCTGGGAGGGGTGGGGAATGGAAGAAGTAATGAGGTGGGACAGTAAGAGTAGCTCAGATCTGGTACCAGCCCCACCATGGTGGATGGCTTGTGGCACCTGGCTCTGGCTGATCTCCCCAGAGACTCATGGAGAGTTTAGAGACACAGTGAGGCTGAGTGAGTTGAAGAGCACAGATACCAGAGCTGCTTCTCATTTACGAGCTGTGAGACCTTGGGTAAGCTAACTGACCTCTCTGGGCCTTGGTCTTCACCTTTAAAGTAGGACAAATAACACATGGGTTTGCTGATGAATGAGTTAAGACAGGCAACACAGTTAGGACAGACCTCAGCACACAGTATATTCACCACCCATAACCTTCTGCAAACAATCACATTTAATTAGCTTACTCCATAGAGTGGCTTTGGGAACCAAATGTGGCCATGCTGGTGATGGCTCTGAGGATAGAGGAAGGCTGTCCACTGCTCATCGGTGCCTGTTTCTGCCTCCAGGAAAGCAGCTGTGTGAGGAGGAGCGCCGGGCCATGCAGGCAGCCTTGGACTCCATCGTCTGCCACACACCCCTCAACAACCTTGGCTTTTCACGGAAGGGCAGTGCACTTACCTTCAGTGTGGCCTTCCAGGCTCTGAGGTCGGGGCTCTTTGAGGTGGGCCAGTGCTGCGTAACATGGGGGTATAGTGGCTAGGCTCCTAGCCTCTATGGAGGAAGGACGAGTAATGGGCGGTGCTGGAAGGCTGGGCAGAGGGGAGATGATGCACGTGAAGGTCTGGCCGGAATGCTGATGCACATCTCCTGCTGCAGCTGAGCCAGCACATGAAGCTGAAGCTGCAGTTCACTGCCAGTGTGTCCCACCCTCCACCTGAGGCCCGACCCCTCTCTCGCAAGAGCAGCCCCAGCAGCCCTGCTGTCCGGGACCTGGTGGAGAGGCACCAGGCCAGCCTGGGCCGCTCTCAGTCCTTCTCCCACCAACAGCCTTCCCGAAGTCACCTCATGAGGTAGGAACTGGGGGAGGCATCCCACTGGCCTGGGCAGAGGGGCCACATCTGAGCAGAGCCCACAGCCTCTGTCCTCCCCCAGGTCGGGCAGCGTGATGGAGCGCAGGGCCATCACGCCCCCGGTGGCCTCCCCTGTCGGCCGCCCCCTCTACTTGCCTCCGGACAAGGCTGTGCTGTCTCTGGACAAGATTGCCAAGCGCGAGTGCAAAGTACTGGTGGTGGAGCCTGTCAAGTAGCACCGAGCTGCTCTGCTTCCCATTCGCTCTAGGAACCCAAAGCCCCTGGTGGGCTTCTTCCTCCCAGGCTGTGCCTCCCCTGGGACACCTCCTGCTGTGGGTGAAGAGGCCCAGCAGGGCCGCCTGTCTGTGTCTGCTGATGAGGGACAAGGGCAGAAGCTGTGAAATAGATGGCATGGCTGCATCACTAGGCCAACAGTATTTCTGAGTTCCTCTGGGGGGGCTGGCCCCACCCCAGGCAGAGCAAGGGCTCCAAGAGCTCCCTTGCCCCGACCCTTATCCTTTGTAAGTTTACAGAGTATTTTCCTCATTCCTGTTATGTTCTGTCTGCCTCCGACATTCCCTCCCTCCCACCGGCCCTCAGTGCTGAGATTAGAGGGTGGTGATGGTAAAGGGACCTCAACAATGATCCTCCTGTCTCGGGCTGGGAGATAGCTAGGTGGCCTCCTTCTGCCCCTCATGTTTACGTTGGTGGCCTGAAGCACTTTAAGTTGTGTCTCTGCGGTGGGGTGGGGGGGCTCTCTGTTCCTGTAACTTATTCAACTACAGCTTCCAACTGAATTAAGACTATTAAATGCTTGTTCAGGAGGGAGGATGGCTGCTGTTTGTGTGTTAATGAAAGGAGTAGACAACAGGAGCTCAGGCTGTTGCCCTTTGCATGCATCCAAACAGCTCCCTTTCTGGCTCTGCTTTTCCCGTTCCCAGTTTTATAATGGTGGTGGCCCTGCCCCACCCACCCCAGGCTGAACACAGTCTGTTTTCACAGAAGTTGGCAGACATAGGGAGGTGAAAAGTGCCCCCTCCCAACGCAGCCCCTCCTCTGTACAAACATCCCTGAGCCTCCATCACATCAGATTGATGTTTATTAGGGGGGAGGAGGGGAGGAAAAGGGGGGTCCCCTTGCCCAAGTTGTCTTTAACATAGCACAAAATCCCCAAGTCTCCACTCTTCGGGTAAAGGTGGACGACTGTAAGGCCCTGGTTCCAGCAGCAAAGTGGGGAGGAGGCATGTGTGTGCCCCCTCATCACAGAGACCCAGGGACCCAGGCCACTTCTCCAACTCTGGCCCTCTGGCAGGCTCACACCTCAATAGGTTCCCGGCCGCGGTTCTGCCTCTTCACCACAAACACCCTCTGTCCTGACACAGTCACCAGCAGCGTGTGTTCTCCAAAGACCACTGGAGGGGAGACACACCTTCCCTCACCAAGGAGAGGGAAGGGAGCACAGAGTTAGAGGGTTCAAGGGCCTCCACAGGCTCACACAAACTTGGCTGGATTGACAGCCAAAACAGTTCCATTCAAGGCTGAGAGATGGGAAGAAGCCACTATGACATCTCCTTTCTCTTGTTTACTCAGTCCTGATACAAAAGGAAAAAAGGGGCTGAACCAGAGGGATACTTGGTGAAGGACACAGGGACTTATTTCTTCCCTGAAAAGAAGCTCCTGGAAGCACCCCAATCACCAAGGGCAGGGACAGGGAGCTCACCAGACAGGCGCTTGAAGGGGACATTCGTGCTGTGGTGCAGCCGGAAGCCACAAGCCGTGCTGACCAGCTCAGAGATGGCACTGGCTGCCTGCTCATCATTCTCGAGATCCCCAGACGACTGCAAGTACATGAAGGAGGGAAGGTGCAGAAAAATGAGGGCACAGAATTGGGACCGGATTCCAGGATTCCAGGCCTGGGCTCTGGCTCACACTTGTTACGTCTCCCTCTCCACTTTCCAGTACCCTTGGGTCACCCAGTTTTGATGTTGTCACGCTCTTTGTGCCATCCTGTTTCTCATCCTTAAATGCTGGGGTTACCCCACCAACCATCAACTTGTCTGACTACTGATGGCTCTTTTCTAACCCCTTGAAACTGGGTTTTTTGCCTTGTCCCCTCTTACTAGAAAAAAAAAAATTCTCCCAAACCAGTGCCTGCCCACCACTGACTCGTTAAAGGTTCAATCTTGTTCCATCTTCCCACTTGTGGTCTTGTATGCAGAATGTGAACATCTTGGTTCTCAAACCCCTCCCTCTTCCTACCCCTTGGTTAATAAGCCAGTGGCCTGGACTTCCTCTTTTCTGTTGACTGTCTCAACTTCCTCTCCCTCTCTCTTCCATATAGGCCTCTCACTAGGAGAACTTTGGTTCCTTTTCCTTTGGGATAGTCTGTACCTCAGTTTCCTCATCTGTACCTATTTTATAGGCTTGTGATGGTTACTTGAGACAGTAGTGGGGGAGATACTTAAAACAACTAGCAATTCACTGCTGTTTTTCTACTTCAGATTCACTGTCTACAATGGGCCATCCTATTGTATCCATCTTTGCGCCATCCAAAGTCCCCTTATCCATCTCCTCCGCAGCAAGCTCCTTTTAAAATTTCCTGTTTGTTAAGGCACCACATCATTCTTCTAGGCTTCTCAGTTTAAAGTTCTACGAATGGAAAAGTATTCCTATAGAACATTGGTGGCAAACCTATGACAAGCAGGTTATTGTGTTTCTCTTTTAAGACGATTATGCATGAGTTTTTTTCTAAACTAAACCCTCAGTATTCAGGTTTAATTGCAGTGTTGGCACTTTGTAATAAATAAATGGGTTCTGGGTTAGTGTGGGACTTGGTCTCAAAAAGGTTTGCCATCACTGCTATAGAAGATTTAAGTATTATCTCTCGTTATCATCAGGATGTATTATTAAAATTTCTCTCCTTGCTACCAGCCCATTCTCATACCTAGAATACCCCCTTTCCAGCCTATTTGCATCACTCACAGTCTTGCTCATCCATTTCACTGGGTCATGTTTCTGTTCAAAACACCTTCAAATTTCCTACAGCCCTCAAGATGAAATCCAAATGTTACAACCTGGCCTTGGAAGTGCTCCACAATCAGATCCATTACTTTTCCAAATTCCTTCTATGTGAACTCACCACCAATTCAGATAGGCACTGTCACACTCCGCAAATATATCCAGCTTCCAGCCCTGAATACTTTTCTTTTCTACTCATTCAACCCATCTTTTAAGCTCAGCAGAATTTGCACCTCCAAGAAAGCTCTCTTGCCATAAAATAAGTTAGAACACCAAGGTTTGAGACCTTCATTTCCTGGACTTAAGCAAGCTTTACCACTTGCACTGCTTTAAACCTGCAACCATAAGTCTTTCCAGCTGGAGCAAAAACTTTAAGAGGGCTACACTATATAGTACTATGGAATAAAATACAAAATCTTGTTGAGAAATAAAAACTACAGACATACTGGAGAAAAACGTGGACATTACCGACTATTAACAAACCTATGACTATGATTTTTGTAAAACTGGTAAACCTCTCCTACCATGGCACACTTAGATGACTAAGCCTCCAAAGATTACTGAGACCTTACTGTATGTAGGGAGATTCCAGGTTAAGGGGACGAAAAGAGAGAAGTCAGGAGAAAATAGGCAATACTGGAAGGGGTCAATGGCCTCGTGTACACTAAGGGATCCCCCGCCCTTTCCCAGAACGCACCGCCAGCACTGCACCTTCACTCAGCACCAAGTAGCCCAGCTGGTCTGGGATTCGCTCCAAGCCCTGGGTCAGTGCAGAAGTCTAGTAGGTAAAGATGCAAGCAGTGAGAAGCAAACTAGACTTGGGTCTCGATACCCTTCACCTGCCAACCCGTCTCTCTCTTGACGATGGCCCCGTTCCAGACTCTTCCCCCTACATGGCCTTCAATGCTGATCTTCTGGGGTCTCTGCCCTCACTCTCGGCCCCTGGCCTCCCCACTCTGGCTACCCGGGGCGCCCCATTCTTGTCCCACACCTGCCTGGGACACTACTTCCTAGCCCCCAACACTCTCCCATAGATTCGTCCTCGGTCCGCTACGTTGCTGCCCCTCTCATCTCCATTCCCACGCCATCTCAGGGTACACTGGAGATGAGAATGGAGCGCATGGACCAGGAGGGGGCAACCAAAGATAGGGCAGCAGGGACTTTGAACCCCCGGCGCATCCTCTCGCGCATGCGTCCTCACTCACCATTGCGGCCTCAGAAGCCGGTAGAGCTCCGCACCAAATAGGTAGCTTCCGGCGCTGGGTCTAGGTCGCGGGCTTCCACCAACAATCTCCTCCCTTTAACCACGCCCCTAGTATGGTGATTGGCGAGTGTCTAAGTCATTAGACTTAATCAACCAGTGCGGAGCGCCGCTTCCGATAGACACGCGCGGATTGGTCTCCCGGTCCCGTAGCGTCAGAGCGGGAGGTCCTGGGTGTGCGGAGCTGTGGGTGTGCGCAGCTGTGGGTGTGCGCCTGCGCAGAGAGGCAGCCTGCGCGTTCTGTCAAGAGCGGCGATGTCCACTTGTGAGACCTCAAGAGAGTCTGTTCCTGGGTTTCAGACATCGTGAAACGAGAACTTGTAGTGAAAAGCTATTCAGATGCTATTGTTATCTCTACCCGAGGCAGCTGTCTGTTAAGGCAAAGATTTGTTCCCAAGTGTTTTTTGTCCTTGGATTTTTGTGACGAACCCTTATGATGGTGAATTGAGCCCCTGGCCAGACGACTTACTTGAAACACTGAATATTCCCTGCCAGGAAAAATTAGAAACAGGTTAGGAACAGTACCTTGGTATCACTTTTACTGCATGTACGAGCCATATATATGAAATATTTGTTTGAATTTATACAGTCTCTAGACCTATTGCAATACTAATAACTTATGACGCTGAAGCAGCATTGGTGAGGTAAAATGAAGAATGATTCTGGAAACAGTACTTGGTGAGGATGTGGAGAAATGACTCTCAGAGGTTGCCAGTGGGCCTTCAAACAGTGTAGCATTTCCTCAACAAGTTCAACTCAAGAGTTGCCATATGACCAAGAAGTTCCACTTGTAAGCATTTTCTCAGAGAACTGAAACATGTTCACAGAAAAACGTGTACTGTACTTGACAGCATTCCTTAAAATAGTCAGAAAGTGAAGCAACCCACGCATCCATCAATTGTTGAATGAGTAAATACAGTTTGGTATATCCATACAATGGAATATTTTTCAGCCATAGGAAGTAATGAAGTATGACTCGAGGTGCAACACTGATAAATCTTGAAAACATGGTATTGAGTGAACAAGGTCAGATGTGTGAGGCCTCATATTGTGTAATCCCATTTATATGAAATATCTGCAAATCCATAAAATGGATTAGTGGCTGGCAGAGAATTGGAGATAGAGGGGTAAGAAATGGTGAGTGACTGACAATGGGATTCCTTTTGGGGGTGATGAAAATGTGGGATTAGTGGTGAGGGTTTTACAACCTTGTAAATGTACTGAAGCCACTGAATTATACAATTTGAAATGGAGAATTTTAATGTATGTGAATTATATTTCAATTTAAAAACACGAAGTTCTATTGCTTGAGGAGAAACAGCTAATTAGAAAGTGGAGGCCTTTTTAAAACAGAAGTAGGGGGCCGGGGATTTAGCTCAGTGTTTCTGCTGCCTGCCTTGAAAGTGCAAGGTCCTGAGTTCGATCCCTGGTACAAAAAAAACAAAAGCAAAAAACGGAAGTAGGGCTGGGGGTGTAACTCAGTGGTAAAGTGTGTGCTTAGCAAGTGCCTTGGGTTCAATCCACTGCACAATACTCCCCCCGCCGCAAAGAGGTATATTTATAATATAACATTTAAGTTAGAGGATATGGAGAGAGAGGAGGTTGTACAGAGATAATTTGCAAGCCCTTGCCTGGCCTTACATATTGATGGCATTAGTAGTACCATTTTCTTTGCACTTACTTTTAGAAAATTTTCATGCATACTACATTTATCTAAACCTCTCAGTAACCACCTTGTGTAGTAATCCCATTTTGCAGATTGGAAAGTGCACAGAGGTTGAGCCCTGCTCCAGGGCACACAGCTAGTGCATGGTGCAGCCAGTTCCTAGACTTACTTTTCTGACACTGAAGCTGATGCTTCTTTCTATTTTTTTTTATGAGCCAACTGGAAAGAAACAAGCTACATTTAATTTTATCTCAAAACTTCTGGCTCTCATTTAAAAAAAATTTTTTTTCAGCTCTCATTTTTATTGATACAGGGGAAGCCTTCACAGAAGGCTCAGTCATAGTTGTAGGAACCAGCCTATGAGTTTATCCCGACGCGGGGGGCGAACGGGGATAAAAGACAAAAGACACAAAGATAATTTGGAAGAGGGGACTAGGGGACTCCTGCCTCTAGAGGACAAAAGAGCCCTGAATTAGCAGTACTCCTCACTTTTTATTAGACTCGCATAAAGAAGCAAGCAAACATGCAATCCAGGGTTCGGGAAAGTTCATCAGGTTCTCCTAGTTTCTCATTAATTTCTCATTCAGGCTGCACCTGAATGTGTATTTTCTTTAATCAGACTTCAGCTGCAGTTGACTCTCCTTGAAACTGGCTGGTGCTGGCATGCTGGTGCTGGCGTGAGGGAGAGTCAGCTTGTTAGCTTTTCTCTCTTGTCTCAAGGAGAGGTCAACCCAGCCCTTGGTCTCACCCTTAGTTTCCCACACGTTAGAATTTTTTTTCCACAGCAAGCAAGTCATGTAGAGAGCGAAGTTTCTCTTTCTTTCATTCAATAAATGTTGAGTACCATCTGTGTACCAGAAACCCTTCTTGGAATTAAGGATATGGTAGTGACTAAAAACAAGACTTTTGAAAAACTGTTTTCAGGGAGCTGGGAGGGAGAGGAAGGTGAGCCAGACAACAAAAAGATAATAACAGTAATGTGTTAAGTGGCAAAAAGTGCTACCAAGAATAGAGAAGAGTTCCATTTATATCAAGTTCAGCAAAACAAAATAGTGTATTGTATACATGCACATATACGAAGAGTGATTGAAAAATATGGTGAATGTTTAAATTTTTAAAAATCTATTATAGTAAGACACATTGCCATTAATCTCCCTCAAAATACTCCCTCTCTTTTGGAACATACTTACCTCTAAACCTCTTGCCACTTTCTGAAGCAGTTCTGTAAATGCTCTTTCTTTTTTTTTTCATTTTAAAATTAATTTTATTGGTACATTTTATTGGTACATTTTAGGTATACAATTCGTTTACATTTATCATTGGGTGCTTGTACCTATATATGATGTATCTTGGTTCTTATTCTTTTCCCCATTACCTGTGCGCCCTTCACCCCCTCCACCCTTCCCTGTTTACACAGATTTCATTTCCATTTTTTTTCTTTTCTCGTAGTTTTTCCTTTCCCTCTTTTTCTTTCCCCTTCCCCTCGCTTCACTCTTTTGTCTTTGGACCTTTTTTCCTATTTCAAATTATCAATTATTCATTTTAATCATTTTAACTCGTTTACACTATCAGTTTCTCGCACTAGAGAAACTATTTGGTATTTACCACATGTGTGTCCTATTTATTTCACTTAAGAGTATGGCCTCAATATGCATCCATTTAGCTATAAATGACTCTAGTTTTTCATTCTTTATGGCTGAGTAGTACTCCATTTTATAAAAAAACCCCACATTTTCTTTATCCAGTTTCCAGTTGATGGGCATTTGGGCTGTTTCCAAGCTTTAGCTGTTACAAACTGTGCTATGAACATGGGTGCACATATATCACTGTGGTATGATTCTTTTAATTCTTTTGGAAAGATATCCAGCAGGGGAAAAGCTGGGTCAAATGGGACTTCTAGTCCTAGTTCTTTGAGGTATTTCCATACTGACTTCCACAGTGGTTGCACCAGTCTACACTCCCACCAACAATGGAGAAGGGTTCCTTTCTCCCCACATCCCTGCCAGCATTTGTTATTTGTTGATTTCTTGATAGCAGCCATTCTTTCTGGGGTGAGGTGGAATCTCAGGGTTGTTTTCATCTGCTAAATGCTCTTTCTTTACAAGGCATGATCAAAAGTGGTGACTGCTACTGCCAAGTGTCACCCAATGAAAGCCAGGCTCATAAAAACATTACAGTGTGTCCTCATCCATCTTATTCGGAGGATCTGGAACTGTGAAACTCCTGGCTTTTCCCCAAAGTCAAAGTGACCATGGAAGGTAAACAGTTTAAATAAATTCAGGACTTTTTGGCAGCCATGACAGGACTGCTAAAGACATTTATGAAAGAAGACTTCTAAAACTCCCTCAGGAAGTGACAAGAATGATGGGATAAGTATGTTCAAAGCTACAGGGAGTATTTTGAGGAGTACTAATGGCAATGTGTCTTTCACTCTGATAATTTTTTAATTTAAGCACACTATATTTAATCACACCTTGTTATTATTTATGGCAAAATGATAAAGAAAATCAAGGGAATCATAATACAAAATTTGGAATAGAGAGGAGATGGGATCAGAAAGAAGAACAAAGAGCTTCAAATATTTTAGTATATGTGCTGCCGAAGCAAGCACAAGAGCTTCAAATATTTGGTAATCTATTTCTTAAGTTCTCAATCTTCCTCTTTCTCTACATGTATGTCTGTGTATGTGCACACCTATGCATGCGTGTGCATCTATACAATGTTTTTTTGTGTGTGTGTGATATGGGGATTGAACTCAGAGTCTTCCCACTGATCTACATTCCTAGACCTTTCTTTTCTTTTTTTTTTTGTACCAGGGATTGAACTCAGGTCTTTGCACTTGCAAAGCAAGTGGCAGAACCACTAAGCCGAATCCCCGGCCCCTAGCCCTTCCTTTTTTTTTTTTTATTTTGAGACAGTGTCTCATTAAGTCACTAGGTGACCTAGGCTGGGCTTGGACTTGACATCCTCCTGCCTTAGTCTCCTAGAGTGCTGGAATTATGGACATACACCACTATGCCTGCCTTTATCCATTGTGTTTAGTATAATAAAGACTTGATCATTTTTAAAATCTTTAAAAAGTAGGTGCCATAATCAAGCAATTTCACACCAACAGAAATATGTACATATATTCATCTAAAGATGTGTACTGGAATGTTCATGGGAGTTTTACTCCTAATAATACAAAGTTAAAAACTACCCAAATTGCCCACCAATGGTTGAATAAATTCTATCATCCTGGAACTCTTACGTCAATGAGAATAAGTGAAATAAATAAGTGAAATGGCATGAATGAATCTCACAAACTTGATGTTGAGTGAAAGAAGTTACAAAAATGTGTATTTTGTGTGATTCCAGTTATATAAACTATGACAACAGGCAGAATGAATCTATGAGGTTGGAAGTCAAGGTAATGGGTATCC